TCTTGCCTCTCGACCCGTGCGCGCGTAATTGCGTTTAATTCGAGTTGATTTGTTGGCGGCTGAAATCATGGTTCTCATCCCTCACCCAGTTTCTCCCTTTTTTTGCCTTTTTTGACGCAAAAAGTTCTCATTATTCCGTCATTCCTGAGTTGATACGCCGAAATTCCCAGTTTTTGCAGTTGGACTGATGCAGTACATGAATACATGAGCTTATGATATTAAAAAAAAAGGAGTTCTATGTTGGAAAATTTCAATTGACAGTATTAAAGAAAGTGTTATACACTTGAGAGCGTAGCAATTGTAGTTTGTGAAAAAATTAATAGCCTCATTAGCGTTAAAAGTAATATACTCTTAAAAAAAATTTTCTTATTGGAAATATTTTCGTACACTTACACTTGTATCGGTGAAACCGAGTTTCAAATCACAGCATACTTTTTTCTCTCTCTAAAATATGCTATACATTTATACATACATACATAATAACTCTAATACATACGTACCTTATATTTTATTTTAATATCATCAAGTTGTCTCTTTATCAGCTATTTTTCTTTAAAGAAAAAAATTTTGAATGATACTTTTTCAATTAAAAAACAAATTTTTCATGATAATTTAAATACGGAATTAATATGTACAACGTGGTCATGTTTAAATCACAAAAATGGTGGGCCATTCAAGTTGTTTAACGACGAACAGAAAATTCTATATAAAGTCACTCTAAAAATTTTCTAACTTGGAGATCTTAGAACCACCCATAAGTTCTGTAACAGTTTGTAAATTAATTTTGCGTCATCACAGATATTTTTTTTCAATAAAAAATAAAGAAACATTCTTTGTAATCAAAAAAATAAAAATTTATTATTAAATCGAAAAAAATTTTCGAAATAAATCTACGAGCGTAATTGGTGACGAAATAATTACATCTTTTGAAGTTCAAAATTAATTAAGCAGTGGGTAATTTGTGAAAAAAAGAAAACAACACGGTTGGGGAGAGCTGGGCGCTCTTTAGGGACGTCAAATAGATTGCAAAAGTCTCGAAAAAATTTTTAAGTAATTTAATGTCTCTAAAAGTTAACGAAATACTTTGAAAGTCTACTGAAAGATTTCAAAATCACTCAAGGCTTTTCATGGACGCAAAGTCGCCCAAAGCCTTTCAAAGACTGCAAAAATAGTCTCGAAAAGGATTCGTACTTTTCATCGAGACTCTCAAGCGCACAACCCTTCGGGTACGGCATGACATCTTCATCGTCATACAGTATCACACACAGGTACAATCAAACCGAACCAGGAGTGGATCCAACAGCCGGCACGTAACAACATATCGGAGAGAATAGAGAGGACATGTACAGCCACCCACGACACACGTATGGCACTCTACTTCTGTCGTACATACGTGCATACGACACTGGGGGGTGTTGGTGATGTGTGTACACAATAGCCGCCAGTTGTAATAAAGATGGGACGTTGAGAGAGAAAGAGAGGACATTTCAGAGCGGAACGTTTGTCCTTACAGGCGCACAGTGGCGGAATGGCCATTGTCACGTGATTGTGTTTTATTGGAATACGGAAAGTCTGCATGTAACCGAGACGATGAAAAGTTTCGTCTAATGAGTGTACTGGCTATGAATGTGCTGGACGAGCGTGGGAATAGCTGGTGATAATTTTTTATTTTTTTTCCCCTTTTACGTACTCGAGAGACGCCGACCGATCAATTATTGACCGCTATTTGTACCATTCGTGCAGGAGAGTCCAAAACTCCAGCTAAAACTAGTTTTAATGTTTTGTTGATTGTTGCGTGAATTTTGTGGAAAACACCGACGGAATTGGGTGTTGGATCACTTTTAATCAGTAGAGCGACTTCAATTTAATCTGAATATGATAACCAGTCCAGCTGTGTTTTTATGCGTCTCGAGAATTTTATAAAATCGTCAAAACAATTTTTTCTCACTTCTGTTCCATAAATTAATTTACGAGAAATCGTATGAATCTGACGTTTATTTTCACTAACGATACATGTCGTAAAAGGGGGGGAAAAAAAACAAACTGCGAATGACTGTGTTTGTCAGTCTTGTAATATTAACCAGAGCACGTCGCCGATTGTTCCCCACCACATAGCTTTTTGAACAATGCACCTTTCTATCTCAGCCCGAAATTAATTGGATACGATCGAGCGGGAGATCTCTTGCTATGTACTTCCGTTTGCACGTTACATTTGTTTTATAGCACGTCAATATCACCTCCTCGAGAATAATAGACCATTTATTTGATGCTTCGAGCGGTACTTGGCGATATATATACAGGCGCGGCGAATTTACGAGCTCGGCTTTGTGAGATAGTATCGTCTACTTTTAAGAAAAATTTTATACACGACTGACATTATTTAGTTCAGGTCGTTGAAATCTAACTCATGTATTGTATTGTATTGTATTTATTTATTTTCCATGTATAGATTTACATCTTTTTTCATACCCCTTCCCCTCACACGACATGCCGTGCGCTTACAATTTTCGCTCTTAAACCTAGTATTATTTTATCTTCCTCAAAATCTAACTCATGTATTTACAGTTTAATTCGAGGCAGTGCGAAGAACAACAGTGCTTCGTGAAAATATACTTAAATGTAATAAACATCCAGGAGAAAAAACCTTGTGGTATGCGTTCACTTTTTCTTATGAAAACAGAACTTCGCAATTTTTTCTTGAATACGGTATATCACCCATAACAGACCGAAAGCATTTGTTCGTTGAAACTTGGTTAGACAACTATAATTTATCATTGTATTATTTCAATCAGAATAATTTGACCAAATATTATTCAACCATCCAACTTTACCGGGTACCTATACCATATATTATATGCTGATCTTGCACTCTAATATTTTACAATCAAACTGATCGTTGAATTGCAGAAAACAAATTTCAACATCTACTGATCCCCGGAATAATCTGAAAAAAAACTAAACAAAAAAAAAAAAAAAAAAAACTAACCATTCATTGTTAGGAAAAAAAAAAGAAAAAAACGAAGCGTCGGTTACAATTCAGAAATAAGTTTAATAAATTTACGATGGAAAGTTTCATGGTTAGCTAACTTGCTTCTTTTTGTGCTTCTTACTCTTTCTTGCCTCTCGACCCGTGCGCGCGTAATTGCGTTTAATTCGAGTTGATTTGTTGGCGGCTGAAATCATGGTTCTCATCCCTCACCCAGTTTCTCCCTTTTTTTGCCTTTTTTGACGCAAAAAGTTCTCATTATTCCGTCATTCCTGAGTTGATACGCCGAAATTCCCAGTTTTTGCAGTTGGACTGATGCAGTACATGAATACATGAGCTTATGATATTAAAAAAAAAGGAGTTCTATGTTGGAAAATTTCAATTGACAGTATTAAAGAAAGTGTTATACACTTGAGAGCGTAGCAATTGTAGTTTGTGAAAAAATTAATAGCCTCATTAGCGTTAAAAGTAATATACTCTTAAAAAAAATTTTCTTATTGGAAATATTTTCGTACACTTACACTTGTATCGGTGAAACCGAGTTTCAAATCACAGCATACTTTTTTCTCTCTCTAAAATATGCTATACATTTATACATACATACATAATAACTCTAATACATACGTACCTTATATTTTATTTTAATATCATCAAGTTGTCTCTTTATCAGCTATTTTTCTTTAAAGAAAAAAATTTTGAATGATACTTTTTCAATTAAAAAACAAATTTTTCATGATAATTTAAATACGGAATTAATATGTACAACGTGGTCATGTTTAAATCACAAAAATGGTGGGCCATTCAAGTTGTTTAACGACGAACAGAAAATTCTATATAAAGTCACTCTAAAAATTTTCTAACTTGGAGATCTTAGAACCACCCATAAGTTCTGTAACAGTTTGTAAATTAATTTTGCGTCATCACAGATATTTTTTTTCAATAAAAAATAAAGAAACATTCTTTGTAATCAAAAAAATAAAAATTTATTATTAAATCGAAAAAAATTTTCGAAATAAATCTACGAGCGTAATTGGTGACGAAATAATTACATCTTTTGAAGTTCAAAATTAATTAAGCAGTGGGTAATTTGTGNCCTCTGTGCGTGTAACCCTGTATCACGCACCATAAAGTGGTATAGGGCCAGTTTACGCCGAGCCAAGGTTCGTGCGTGGGAGGAGGAGAGCAGCCAAGCGCGTAAACATCACGACTGTGTGTATTGTGTAACCTCTGGGATTTTCTGGGGAGGAAAAAAATGTGTTTATTGCGTACGTTCGTGCATGAGTATGGGGTTGCCTTACCCCTGCCTGTACGCTTGCAACTAGTATATGTGTACCTGTTATATTTTCCCCTTTGTTTTTCGCCGCAGACCCTACTGGGATGAAGTTGACATTTTCGTTGGGAAACGATAAACTGCAGAAGCCCATCGATTACCTTCCTCCTATATACTTCCACGTACTTTTCTCCCTCTTTGTATTTTACAATTTGTTTCCGTATTGTCGGCTGAACGAGTGACAGGGTGATGTGTTTGTTAATTTTTAGTCAACTCCAAAGCTAAGTTTGCAAAATAATAACTCAGGTATTTCTGATTTGTCAGGCTTTAAATAGGTTCAATTAGCGAAGCTTAGCATTTTAGTTTGAGTCCTGATCAAACTGTGCAAGTATTTTTGTAAATATCTCACACAACCAATCCTGTTGAACATTCAGTGTTATTTAAGCTATTGCAGGTGTTTTATTGTAATACAATTGTTAAAAAAACAATTTTTAAACTCTCCAATTTTCCAAAATATACAGATTTGTGAAATACAGTTATAAAAATTAATAAAATCCACTCATTCCAAGTAAAAAAAAAATGCATGAGACATTGATAATTGGCTCCATTGGTCGTCGAGGATGTTCAAAAACTGACGTAGAGACAAAAAAATCGGCGTCAAGGAGTGTGCGTTGATATAAAAAAAAAAAAAAAAGACATAAATAAGAAAATAAGAACAAAGACCTGCGAGTAAAAGCAGGAAAGATGCCGCAGTACGACGAGTCGCTCCTTTACTCGCCGGTCTTTTGGCGACGGGCGCGCAGTTACTGCCTACAAAAGCGGTCGATGCGCAAGTCCAGGTCGTCCTTTCAACTGACAGCCTCGCCGATCCTTCTGTCGGTTAGCAGTCCGACTTGCCGGCTCAAGGCTTCCGCGTCCATTTGCAACCTCCAAGGTATAGTTGCGCTTTTTCCAAAGCTGAAGGACTTTAACTTGTTCTTTAAGATTTACCGCGTATGATTCAAGTTGATGTAATGTATATTTATGGAAAAAAATTTTTTAATAGTTTTATGTTTTTAATGCTCTTCTTCTATCGTATTTTTAACAAACGTATGTGTATGCTTTTTTTGTTGCAGGTAAGTTTATACGACCGACATAATTGGTGGTATCGTAGGCCTGCAAGTATTCTACTACAATATTAGACACATCTGAATGAGTGAGGTATATTTTTATCTTCCATACATACGTATATCCTTGTATATATACAAGTATTCTTTAAATATATCGTATATCTGAATCGTACATCTGAAATAAAACAATTTTTTTTTTTATGTGCAATAAAGTGGCAAACAAGACTTTAATTTGCGCTCTGTTCATTACACCCTCATCCTATTTAGCTCATGTAAACAAATTGTGTACCTACAGTTGCGCTAATGCTACTTTTCACACGTCTTGCATCGTGATAAGTTACTTTGCAAGCTCTCAACAATTTCTTCCATGTGCACGTGTATTTACTCGTAAGATGATGGAGATAGTCTATATGCAACAAAAAAAAAAATTGACGTGACAGCAGTTTCAATTAACGATCAAGCGTACAAATATATGAGAGTTTTTACGGATACCATTAGAGTATCGTTAAATTTTATGTTTTTGCTGAATTTACAGTTAGGGAGCACGATTTAAACAAATAAATTTTCTCAAAGGATGGGTATTATATTATTCAAAGTAATTAATATACATTTTTTTTATTTAAAACTTTCATAAAAAANAAAAAAAAAAAAAAAAAAAAAAAAAAAAAAAAACAAACAAGACAAAACAATTTAACCCATACATATACCCTTCCAAATGTACAAAACACTTGTTAGGTAACGCAGTCATTACAGTTTCCTTATCAGTGACGCTCGTAAAAATTGCACCCACCAACCTAATTAAAATAACAAACACACTGTTCCAGAACATAACTGTCAAGCTCTTTTTTTTAAATAAAAAGTAGGTCACAAAACCGACTGTGTTGTTGTACGTAAAACACAGGATTTCTAACAAAAATCAAAATCAATAAGATGATCAAATTTTTATTTTCACTGATAAAATATGCTACAAAACTACGAAAAAGCTGTCCGACGACCAAAACGCAATAATCCAACCCTTGAATCCCAAAAAGCTCGCTGCCCGTAGATGACGTAGCTTTTTACGCGTGGGACCAAAGTGCGCTCTCAAGGTTGGTGGTGTAGGGGAAAAGAAAAAACACTTAAGGTGCCGTGGCCCCTTGGTGGATGCATTTTATAAAGGCCGGCTCCTCGAGCCGTTAAACTCAACGGAGCGTGTGGGCGTGACGAGGTCGTGAGCTTTATACGACTAGCATTCGGCGATAAAGTCGTGTGCTTGAATTAAAAAGAAAATACTTTTTTAAAAAAATTAGGACAGTTTCATTTTGCCGTGAAAAATAATCAATTTGAAACCACTTATTTATTTACCTACAGGTCGACGAAAAATTAAACAACGACTTGAGTGAAAGAAAAACGGGATAATCGTGTGAGCCAATGGTGATTACCCTGTTGCACGTTAACGATAACTGCTTCTTCTATTGTTTTTTTATATCACCCGTGAAGACCCCTCCAAAAGGGCTCGTTTAGTCTTCATATACGCGCACCCAAAGCTCAAAAACAATGCCTTCATAAAAGTCTACAGCATCGCTCGTTTACGGCCTGTATATTAAATCGTTCGCGATAGACCTTGTGCCTGCACGGGCACGTGCGTGTGTATAAGCCATCAGCAACTATTCATAAATCCTCAGGGATGCAAACATGAAAATTGCCAACTACCACGTGTATACTCGTAGCATCGGCGAAATAGCAGCAGGAAAAGAAGGAAAACATTACCCAAGTATCACAGGCATCAAAATAATTTACTTGGTAATTTTTTTTTTTTTCTTCGCCAATTATCGCGGTTGTTGCAGCATTATACGTATGTATAATCGGGGCCCAACACTTTACTGGCACCAGCGTGGAACACGAGAGTCCAATTAAACAACGTGGTCGCGTAATTAATTGCAAATACAAATTCAACGATAAGCTCGTTTGAGGCCGCTTGACCTCGATCAACGCGATTATAGATAACAGCGTCCAAAGTTTCGTCGTCGAGTGCACGATTCTAACTTTACGCGTAAACTGCCCCTAATCGTGTATACTCGATCGATGTTCATCCGGGCTGCAAAAAAAAAAAAAATAAAAGTGTACGAAACAAATTAGTGGCTCCGAAAACTGAACGCGCTTGGGATGGGCTATTTGTTTATTAGCGCTCGCGAAACAGTTGGCGTGACGGGCAAAAAGATCCACGCACGGCGAGAGCAAAGCGTTTTGCTAAAAGCTCGCGGGAACTGATGGAAATCTGGGTCGCAAGTTCACTATAACAACCGCCCAATATACCTGTGAATGCGTGTCGATCTTTTTCTTTTTTTTAATTCCTGTTTGGTTTGAAATCATACTGATGGCATTAAAATTGAAAATTTTTTACATCATTGTACGTGATTCTCGCCCTTGGCGGAGATTGTGCATGTATTTTTGTTCCTTCGAAACGAAAAACATGAAATATCCACAGAATATTTTTCGACGATATTCATATTACCATAATTCTAGGTCGTAGTAATGACTCCAGTCGCGTGTTAACGTGTGTACAGACAATAATGCAGAGTATGTATAGTACACACGACACAGATTCTCGCTCGTCTTATCTATCTTTTTGTTTCTGCCACGCGCAGTTGATTTCGCACTCGGTACACACTTCGCCGCAACAACTATGCATTTTACAAAGGCTAGCTGTGTCGAAACGTGACTTCAACATTGATTAATTTACAATATTCTTTCACTCAACGCGATAAAATTCATTGAAATAGTTTTCGAATCGCTGGTTTACGACACAAGTGTATAGTTTCAAGAGCTTGGGGGTATTACTTATACAAGTATGGATGTAAGTAAAGGTCAGGCGGGCGGCACATTGTCTTTTACCTTGAAACTTACCATCTGCTCAAGTATCTGTTTAAGTCAAAGAAGAAGAGACTATAAAGAGATAAAAAAAGAGGGGAGAAAGGACTCGAGTTATCGCTCCAGTAAACATTAATCGTTTTTATAATGGAGTAGATGGGATTTTTTTTTCTTTCTGGACGAATTAGCGCCAAGGAAGAGTACTGTTTCTGTACTAGTTTCATTTGTCAAATTTTATTTCGCTATTATTAGGAGACAACTGTTTTAGCAGAATTAAAATTTTTGAAAAATAAAAATATGCAATAATTACCAAAATCTTATACATTGTATCTCACTAAGTAAAATTGCCCCGTTAATTTATGAAACACCCAAGTTCTCGTGATCGTGGATTTTCTAGGGGCCCACCTTCATTCGTCGGAATACGTAAGGACAGTATATACTCGGAGAATCCTGAAAAATGACACTCCATTTCGAGGCACAAAATTCAAAAGGCCATGTTCTCTGAAATTTTACCAAATTAACACAATACGCGTTATGTCCCATGAAGCTCGACCTATTGAATAATCAGGGCCGTTAGCCTCGTCTTAAGACGTGGGAAAAAAAAAAAAAAAAAAAAAGAGAGAGAGAGAAGATAAAAAAGGAAAAGAGCAAACCATCGATTGCCGATCCCTCCTGCGCGTGTTATATAAATAAAATGGTATATTGTCGAGGCCGTTCTTTGAGGTCGAGACAGCCACCCCTGTATACGCGCAAGACGATGATGCCAAAGTTGCTCGACTAACGAGTCGGAAATTATCGACGTCACGCGTGTGTGTACAAAAGCTGCATACGAGCGTCGCACAATGGCTTTTTATACCGTACATATTTCGAGCCTCGGAAGTGTCCAGGGTCTTTTTTTTCCACTCCCCCCATTTGTTGTGGCCATCGATTCTTCTTTGCGCATGGGGTCGTCGATGAAAGAAGGGGAGGATTGACGATCTGTTTTGGAGCTACGGCCAACCAGTTACCCCTCGCGAATCGGCGCTGGAACATCGGTTTTACTTACGACATTACGCGGCAATCAGCCAAGTATCTTTGGCAACTTGGATGTGAAATAAGTGTCTTTAAATTATACGGACACAACATTAGCGGAAGAAAATTAAACACGTGTGCTGTAAAATACAAAAGTCTTGAGTTAATTTAAATACAAACAATTAAACCTCTATTCAATAGTTTATATTGCAAATATTTCAGTCAGCTATCGAGTTAACAAATCTATCGACGCAAGTCACCGTGCATCGTTATTTTAATGTTTTTCGTTATCAGTGCTATACATTTTTAGCAACTTTGTAAAAATTTTCAATGGCACTCTACAAGTGCGATTAAATTAAACGAAAAAGACTAGCACGTCGACTCGCGCACGCACATTAATACAGTAAAAGTTTACCTCGCGAAGGACTCTCGTATTACTTGTTTTCCGTTTTCTCTCCTCCTCTTTTATACGTACAGGATTTGGTTACGCGGCTTCTCTTCGTTTCCATTACGTGGTGCAGAGGACACGCAAGTATATATACGTATATAACGGGCGCAAGAGGGCAAACATCCGCGAAAACCGCTTGCACGAGCCCATACTTTTTTATGCACATGTGGTGCGCGATAAACCGCAGAAGCCGATCGATTACCTTCCTCCTATATACTTCCACGTACTTTTCTCCCTCTTTGTATTTTACAATTTGTTTCCGTATTGTCGGCTGAACGAGTGACAGGGTGATGTGTTTGTTAATTTTTAGTCAACTCCAAAGCTAAGTTTGCAAAATAATAACTCAGGTATTTCTGATTTGTCAGGCTTTAAATAGGTTCAATTAGCGAAGCTTAGCATTTTAGTTTGAGTCCTGATCAAACTGTGCAAGTATTTTTGTAAATATCTCACACAAGCAATCCTGTTGAACATTCAGTGTTATTTAAGCTATTGCAGGTGTTTTATTGTAATACAATT